TTCAGCGATATTGATTTCCCCGTCTTTTCATGGTTGGACTTTTCCATTGGATTAGCATATCATATCCCAACAAGTATAGTGCGGACAGCGCTCTGCTTTATTTAACAAATAAATTATAAGAGTTTGCGGAGAAACAAACGACCGGGATACTTAAGTTCAATTTAAATAATTCTTCTAGAGCACCTTTAAACATTAAATAAGTTAAGTTGATTGATTCATGAGAACGCACGGCTACAGCTGAAATATATATATATATATATAATGAAGGAACCAAACTGACTTTCAGAGCTACAACCTTAGAGACCTGTCTACCTATCTTCATGGAGGAGCCACTACTGGACACAGCTGCTGGCTCTGATCAGTTGAGCACTAAGCCTCATGATCTGTATGAAGGTGGGAACGAAGACTATGCGCCGGTGAGGAGCGTCGATGCGTTGCGGCATATGTTTTGGATCGAGACAGTGAAGCTCTGGAAAATAGCAGGTCCCACAGTGATCACTATGCTGTGTATGTATGGGACTAACTCAGTTATCGTTATCTTTGTTGGTCATCTCGGAGCTGTAGAGCTCTCAGCCGTCTCCATTTCTCTCTCCGTCATTACCACATTCGCTTTTGGATTCTTGGTTAATTTTCTTCCCCTTAATTCCCCTCATGTCAAGCACATGTTATATTATATGTTGCCAGACTATGAATTTAAAGTTTCGACTATTAGTTAGGTAGATGAAATGAAAAAAAACATTAATTACATATATATTTGGCAAGAGAACATTGATGTGGATGCATGAATTGTACCAATATGGCAACTTTAAGAATGTCAAAAATATGAATATGTTATATTATGCAGCTTGGCATGGGGAGTGCTCTGGAGACCCTGTGTGGGCAGGCATTTGGAGCTGGGCAGATTCATATGCTTGGGATTTACATGCAGCGCTCATGGATAATCCTATTTGTGACCACCCTCTGCATCTTGCCAATATACATCTTTGCCACACCCGTTTTAAAGTTGCTAGGCCAAGAAGATGACATAGCCAATCTAGCTGGAGAATTTACTATCCAAACAATCCCCTCATTGTTCTCACTTGCCATTATTTTTCCATCTCAGAAGTTCCTTCAGGCTCAGAGAAAGGTTAAGGTTCTGGCATGGATTGCAGTTTTGGGTTTGCTCATACAAATTGGGATGCTCTGTCTGTTCATTTTGGTGTTTGGTTGGGGCACATTGGGTGCGGCTGTTGCATTTGACATTGTAAGATGGGGCTTGGCAATTGCTCAAGTTGTGTATATAATGGGTTGGTGCAGGGACGGCTGGACTGGGTTTTCATGGTTGGCATTCAAGGAGATATGGGCTTTTGTAAGACTTTCCCTTGCCTCTGCTGTCATGCTCTGCCTTGAGGTTTGGTACTTCATGAGCATACTCATTCTCACAGGCCATCTTGACAATGCAGTTATAGCAGTTGGTTCCCTTTCTATTTGGTAATTAACATCTTAATGCTAATACCACGGTGGCTAATGATAAGCTTTTTATACCTAATGCTAATACCATTCTCTTATTTTCCTTCATTTTTTTGGCTTCTGCAGCATGAACATCAACGGATTTGAACTAATGTTGTTCGTTGGAATAAATGCGGCAATAAGGTGAATAAGCATTGCATATTGCATTTGAATGATTATTCTCATGTTGGTGAATGAGTTAATTAAGGTTTTTAATTTCTACTAATAATGCAGTGTGCGAGTCTCCAATGAGCTTGGATCAGGACGACCAAGAGCAGCCAAATATTCTGTCTATGTGACAGTATTTCAGTGTCTTCTAATGGGGATTTTTTTAATGATTGTGATCTTGATAACCAAAGACAGATTTTCCGTAATTTTTACAAGTGACAAGGATCTGCAACAAGCGGTCGCTAAGCTAGCATATCTTCTTGGTATAACTATGTTGCTCAACAGCATCCAGCCAATAATATCAGGTACCCGTTTGATGTGCGACTAAGTTTATGAAATGTTATACAAATAATGCCACTTCTTCTGCTGATGCCCATGTTTGCTTGCTTGCTTCTTGAAGGGGTTGCAATTGGAGGTGGATGGCAGGCACTGGTAGCTTATATAAACTTGGGTTGTTACTACATTTTTGGACTTCCTCTTGGATATCTTCTTGGTTATACTGCAAATCTGGGTGCGATGGTAAGTTAAGATATATGGTATCATTTCCAAATTCCAAGTAGGTTACGTTAATTCATCACAAGTGTTTGATGCAGGGAGTTTGGGGGGGCATGATATGTGGAACTGCTCTCCAAACCTTGCTTCTGATGATTGTGCTCTACAAAACCAACTGGAACGAAGAGGTATAATCAATATTTCAATTCATTGCAAATCATAAACGCTGTGAGAGTTTAAAATATCCACATCGAAATGAAACTGCAGGTGGAGCAAGCAGCAAAACGAGTGAGGAAGTGGGGTGGTCAGGACGTCACAGCTGAGAATAGAGCTCAAAGTACCTGAAAATGAAATTCTTCGCGCCTCCGTTCCAGTTCAGTTTTCAAATATTTTTTTTTTGTTGTTGGATGAATGAGGAATTGAATAGAATAAATATCCTTTTACTTACTAGTTTGATTTTGTGCACCCCTTAATATCTACAAGTACAAAAGATATAGTGAGATCTCTAATTGCAGCTTTGCCATTTTCAGAGGCCAAGTCCTCATTACATGTTTTCTTTATGTCGTCATTAAATATTGTACAAATAACATTGCTTCCAACCGAATCACGGATGTATACATGGGTTGAGTTGGCTTGAATGACATTCATCTATCCCCTCCCCACATCATTATCCTTTTAAAATCACCCAATTTTTCTGTTTGTTCATGAACAGACGTTTGCTTTGAATCAGGATCATATATCCCAAAAAGTACAGCGCGGTATGCTTTAGTTTAACAAATAAATTATTGTCGTGTTGCATCACATTTACATATAATATAATACTAGCCCCTTGACACATGCTCACACATGTGCCAATTGGTTCTCTTTTTTATTTTTTATTTTATTTTTAGAATTAAGAAAAGATAATATGAGTAGTTATGTTTCATAAAAGTATGACATATTATCTTTTTTTTTTAAATATAAAAAATGTGAATTTATCATATTATCTTCATTTAATTAATAATTTCAATTCTTAATGTTTGAATTAACCAATGACATTTTCTGGTATTTTGAATGTTTCACCATTCTCTGTCTTTTACTTTATATATATATATATATATAGATAGATCCATATACATGCAGGATTGTGGGATCAAATCTGCGGGGGAAACAAACTGCCAAACTACTCAAGTTTAATTAATTATTGTCTGTACGCAATTAAAACCGGTTTCAATTCATTTCAAGTCTCCAGTCTCCACATGAAGGCACGAGCCATCACCGGCTACAACCGGTTAAAGCTACAACTCTACCCTCTCCATTTGCAGCTTGTTTTCGGTGAAGTTGCAAGAAATTAATTAAGGATATTTCATAGAAACAGTGGTCCAAACATTATCCTTAATACGTTATTATTGTAATTTAGTAGTGATTAATTAAGAAAAGGAAAAGGCCCCCTTTCCTTTCATGTAATATATACATATTATGATTTGACTAATTCCGCTTCAAAAACATGAACGTCTGTTTTATTTTAAAATATATATGCAGTTTGCCCTTGGGTACATTTCTAAGGGAGATGTGTTATTATTAAATAACGTGTGTTCATGTTTTTTTTCTTCTCATTATTTATTCCCATAAAATAGTTGTCAATTGTATTGTAGTTGATCATTATAGATAAAAGATTTTCATTTCAGTTTCTTTTCTTTCGTAATTTCTGTAGCGTTAATTTTATGCAATGACCGGCAATAGTAGGTGAGGAAACACACAACACAACCCTAAACGCAACTGCAAGCTTCAGTGAAGAGAGTGTGTCTTTCTTTTCCGCAGTGATCGAATCAAAACTGTTAAATTCGCGCACCAGATTCGCTCATAACTACGTGTCCAACAGTAATTCGCGGTTTAATTTACATTGTCAGTGCACATCCCCGTGTGACCTACACAACAAATACACGCACACACCTCTCTTCAGTTTCAGCCCAGCCTGTCTCAGTTAAATGGTATAAGATCTATCTTTTGGGAAATGGGCATTTGCAGGCTTCAAACAGCCCAAAAAATGATCGCTCAAACTCAAGTTTTGTTTTTGGGTTTGGGCCAATCTGTACCACAATGACCTGTTCTATATGTTACATATTCATTCATTCATGCACCTAAAAATGGAGAATGAGCTTCAAAGTTGCAAACTGAGAAAGGTGCGTGGCTCACCTTTATATGATTTATATTTTATATGCATGCAAATTCCACGAAATAAGCAGCCTTAGAATCAGATAACATAAACAAGTTTCAATATATATATATATATATATATATTATATTATTACTATTGTTGTACAACAATCGGAGAAATTGTAGAATAATATCGATGACCCAACAATTATATTACATGTTTTTTTTAAACTCGTCTTTAAATATGATACAAATAACATTAGACTCTAACCGAGTTATGGATGACAAATGCACAGGTTGGGTTGGGTTAGGTCAGACTTGTTCAAAACGAACCACCGGTAGCAGTTTTTTTTTTGGGACGAACCACAGGTAGCAGCTTCCTCCTTTTGATTTTTGATTTTGATTTTTTATCTTTTCATGGCTAGATATTTCCTTTGGATCTGCATATCATATCCCTACAAATATAGTGCGGTCAGGGCTCTGCTTTATATAACAAATAAATTATTCTGGCGTTGCATCACGTTTATTTCAGTCTCTGCGGAGACACAAACGACCGACCTACTTCAGTTCAATTTAAATAATTCTTCTACAGCACCTTTTAAACATTAAATAAGTTAAGTTCATTGATTCACGAGAATGTACGGCCACAGCTTATATGTATATATATATAATGAAGGAACCAAACCAACTTTCAGAGCTTCAATCTTAGAGACCTATCTACCTATCTTCATGGAGGAGCCGCTACTGGACACAGCTGCTGGCGCTGATCAGTTGAGCACTAAGCCTCATGATCTGTATGAAGGTGGGAACGAAGACTATGCTCCGGTGAGGAGCTTCGATGCGCTGCGGTGTATGTTTTGGACCGAGACAGTGAAGCTCTGGAAAATGGCAGGTCCGGCAGTGATCACTATGTTGTGTATGTATGGGACTAACTTTGCTGTCGTTCTCTTTGTTGGTCATCTCGGAACTGTAGAGCTCTCAGCTGTCTCCATTTCTCTCTCCGTCATTTCCACATTCGCTTATGGATTCTTGGTCAATTTTCTTCCCCTTAGTTCCTCATATGTCAATTTTCTGACATGTTATATTTATATATATATGTTGCCAGACTATGAATTTGAAGACTATTAGTTAAGTACATGAAATGAAAATAACATTACATATATATTTGGGAAGAGAACCTTGATGATGCATGAATTGTACCGATATGGCAACTTTAAGAACGTCAAAAATATGAAAACTTAATATGTTTTGTTTATGCAGTTTGGCATGGGGAGTGCTCTGGAGACCCTGTGTGGGCAGGCATTTGGAGCTGGGGAGATTCATATGCTTGGAATTTACATGCAGCGCTCATGGATAATCCTATTAGTAACCAGCCTCTTCATCTTGCCAATTTACATCTTTGCCACACCCGTTTTAAAATTGCTAGGCCAAGAAGATGACATAGCCAATCTAGCTGGAGAATTTACTATCCAAACAATCCCCTCATTGTTCTCACTTGCCATTATTTTTCCATCTCAGAAGTTCCTTCAGGCTCAGAGAAAGGTTAAGGTTCTGGCATGGATTGCAGTTTTGGGTTTGCTCATACAAATTGGGATGCTCTGTCTCTTCATTTTGGTGTTTGGTTGGGGCACATTGGGTGCGGCTGTTGCATTTGACATTGTAAGATGGGGCATGGCAATTGCTCAAGTTGTGTATATAATGGGTTGGTGCAGGGACGGCTGGACTGGGTTTTCATGGTTGGCTTTCAAGGAGATATGGGCTTTTGTAAGACTTTCCCTTGCCTCTGCTGTCATGCTCTGCCTTGAGATTTGGTACACGATGAGCATACTCATTCTCACAGGCCATCTTGATAATGCAGTTATAGCAGTTGGTTCCCTTTCTATTTGGTAATTAACATCTTAATGCTAATACCATGGTGGCTAATGATAAGCTTTTGATACCTAATGCTAATACCATTCTCTTCTTTTCCTTTCGCAGCGTGAACATTAACGGATTTGAACTAATGTTGTTCATTGGAATAAATGTGGCAATAAGGTGAACAAGCATTGGATATTGCATTTGAATGATTATTCTCATGTTGGTGAATGAGTTAATTAAGGTTTTTAATTTCCACTAATAATGCAGTGTGCGTGTCTCCAATGAGCTTGGATCAGGACGACCAAGAGCAGCCAAATACTCTGTCTATGTGACAGTATTTCAGTGTCTTCTAATTGGGATTTTTTTCATGATTGTGATCTTGATAACCAAAGACAGTTTTTCCCTACTTTT